GTGACTTTGAGAGAATCTTATTTAGAAAGTTGTGGTTTTTTTGGCAAAAATGAAAATTTTGGGGTAGTTATCGCTGATGGAAACCATTAGGTTATATATTCACAAATTAGCTTGTGAATTGCTTAAGCTTACTCTTCCCACTCATTGACATGTTTACATTTATAATATTGATGTCACATTAATGATGTTTTGCTCAATTTTACTTCATTATAAGTTTAGCATATTAATGAAGTTACTTTCTTGTGTATGTAGTGTGTGGAGTCAGCACAGGTTTTATACTCAGGAATTGATATTCCCTGTAGAGAAGTTACTGCAATGAAGTAGTGATTCAGAAGCCAGGTGGAGGAATCGGTCCCATTTCTTACTGTTTTTGGTGTCTCCTCATTTTTTAAAACAAGTATCAAGAATTAGGGTGCTCAGGTACACAGGGACACTAACTTTTGGACCTCTGAGCATGTGGAGACAATGGTATATTTCTGGGTTTTGCCAAAGTAAGGGAGTGTTCATGTTGAGTTGATGCCCCTTGTCTTGGCTACCATGGTTCATTGCACATATCTTGCTGCGTTTTTTTTATATCCATATGTAATTACCTCTTTATATGCTTGTCTCTGCCACTTGATTGTTACTCAGTTTAAATTGTACATAGCTTTTTTTTCTTTTGTATTATAAACATCTAATAGAGTAACATCTCTGTTCTTCGTTTCATTTTACAACTTGAGATTGTATCTCGTTATCCTTCTTTTAGCCTGAAAAACTTCTTTTGACACTTCTTGTAGTACAGGTCTGTTGGAGACAGATTCTCTCAGGTTTTCTCTGTCTGAAATGTCTTTATTCTGCTTCTATTTTCAAAAGGTATTTTTGCTAGATGTAGAATCTCTGGATGACTGTAGTTTTCTCCAAGTACTAAACTGTAAAGATACTACTCCATTGTCTTCTGCTGCTGTAGTGTCTGGTGAAAAATGAGTAATTTGTGTCATTTTTAACTTGTACATAATGCGTCTTCAGATCTCTGGCTGTGCTTTTATGGTTTTTCCTTCACTTTTAATTTTTAGCAGTTTGACTATGAGTTGCCTAGGTGTGGGCTTGTTTTGGTATTCTTAGTTTGTGCTTGTATCCGTCTGTGAATTGACATATTTAATTAATTTATTTGTGAGAGAGAGGCCGGCAGCAGGGGAGGGGCAGGGAGAGAGAGAGAGAGAGAGAGAGAGAGTGAATCCCAAGATGCGTGGCTTGAACTCATGAACTGGGAGATCATGAGCTGAGCCGAAATCAAGAGTTGGAGGCCTAGGGGCGCCTGGGTGTCTCAGTGAAGTGTCCGAGTTTGGCTCAGGTCATGATCTCATCGTTCGTGGGTTTGAGCCCCACATCGGGGGCTGTCAGCTGTGCTGACAGCTCAGAGTCTGGAGCCTGCTTTGGATTCTATGTCTCCCTACCTTGCTTGCACTCTGTCTCTCTCTCAAAAATAAATGAATATTAAAAAGAAGAGTTGGAAGCTTAACCAGCTGAACCACCCAGGCGCCCCTCTGTGAGTTGATTTCTTAAAAATCAGTTATTTTATCATTCTTATGTACCATTTTCTGGTCCTCAATTATACTTGTATTATAGCACTTCATATTATATCACAGCTCTTGGTTTCTCTCTTCTTTATTCTTTCCCTTTTTTCTTTGTGTTTCAGTTTGCTGCTTTTTGTCGATCTGGGTTTACGTTTCCCAGTTCTTTTCTCAGCAATATTCAGGTGACTCTGAAGCTCAGCTAATGAATTTTTCATTTTTTTGATACATTTGAAATTTCTTTTTCTCTTAATATTTTTTGAGAATGAGAAAGACAGAGCATGAGGGGGAGAGGGCACAAAGAGAAGGAGACACAGAATCTGAAGCAAGCTCCAGGCTCTGAGCTGTCAGCACAGAGCCCAATGAGGGGCTCGAACTCACGAACCATGAGATCATGACCTTAGTTGAAGTCAGACTCTCAACCAACTGAGCCACCCAGGTGCCCCGATATATGCATGAAATTTCTAGTGTGGTTCTTAAAATAGTTTCCATGACTTTGTTGCTGAAATTCCCCATCTCTTATGTTGTGTTCACTCTTCATTATATTCTTCAGCATTTTTACAAACATCCTTCTGAATGGTCCGTCTGGCAATTCCATCATCCAGGCTACCTCTAGGTCTGCTTCTCTTTGTGCGTGGCATTTCCTTGGTCCTTTGTGTATGTAGCAGTATGTGAATATACGGTGGACATTTGACTTAAATACGTGGAAATTAAAGTAAATAATACTTCTAAGAAACAATGTGCCCTTTTTTCAGGCTGCTAGAATTGGGGCTGAGTCGATTATGCTCTCTGGTGGAGATGGGCTTGCCAAAGGTGCTGCTTTAGTTTGATTAGTGTCTTCTGGGGCTTCAAAAGTTTCTTAGCACTAAGGAGATTCTGGCATTCTACTTTTGGCTTTACAACTGAACTACTAGCTTTCAAGACTGGGATAACTCTGTTTTAAAGTTCTGATGCCCTTTTCAGAATTAGTGCAGAGTTCTTTGTGTTTGCAGTTGCACTTCTGGCTCTGTTTCTTCAAATAGTCTCTTTGACCTGGTATCTGTCCCCAGCCAACCATCAGGTAGCCACTGTCATTTATTCTCTGAAGGTCCAGATTGTGTCTTTGGGATTTCTTTCCCGTCTTTTTTTTTTTTTTTAAACGTTTGTTTATTTGCTTTTGAGGGAGAGGGAGAGAGCACAAGTGGAGGAGGGACAGGGAGAGAGAGGGAGACGGAGAATCTGAAGCAGGCTCCAGGCTCTGAGCTGTCAGCACAGAGCCTGATGTGGGGCTCGAACTTATGAACTGAGAAATCATGACCTGAGCTGAAGTCAGATGCTTAACCAACTGAGCCACCCAGGTGGCTGTCTTTTACCTAGGTCACAGTGTTTGGGAGGGCAGTGGCTTTGCATGGGAAGAGGCCTCCCCAGACATTACATGGCTCAGGACACCTTGCCCTCCCTCCAGCCATTGGCGTCCTACCCCAAGCAGTTGAAGACCTGAGGGAAAGTGTCGGTAGGTGGGTGGAGACTTGCTCCATGATTAGTCTCCTTGGAATTCTAGTAATGTTTCTCATGCCGGCACCCATGTGGCTGCCAATAGTGCGTTAAAAATTAGGCTGTTTTTTCTTTGCCCTTGTTGAACTTCTTAGTCTGTAGCTGTTTGTCAGGGATAAAAGCAGCTTGTCACTTGGTGATAGTTCTTCCAGGTTTCATTGTGTCCTCAGCTCCCTGATGGGTTGAAAACAACAACTATAATTTGGAAGTTTTCTGGCTTGTTTTTGTTGTTAGGATGAGAGTAGTGGTAGTGTTTTGTGACTTTCTAAATGCTACTGGAAGCTGTCATATTCTTAGTGCTTTAATGATTAGGTCATGTTAGATGGACCGTGTGTGAATGCAGTACATGGCATATTTCTTAGGCTTTATTCTCAGAGAATTTAAAGATTTATTTTGAAAGATAAACATTGCTATCTTCGCGTCTTAATGAAATCCTAGTGCTATCCAATAGAACATTCTGTGATAGTAGAAATGTTATATATGTACTTTGACTAGCCACATGTGGCTTTTGATATGGGGCTAGTGTAACTAAGGAACTGAACTTTTTTTTTATACAACTTATTGTCAAATTGACTTCCATACAATACCCAGTGCTCATCCCAACAAGTGCCCTCCTCGCTGCCCATCACCCACTTTCCCCTCTCCCCCACCCCGCATCAGCCCTCAGTTTATTTTCTGTATTTAAGAGTCTCTTATGGTTTGCCTCCCTACCTCTCTGTTTGTAACTATTTAGGTTTTTTTCCCTTTCCCTTCCCCCATAGTCTCTGTTAAGTTTCTCAAGATCCACACAGAAGTCAAAATATATGATCTTTCTATGACTGACTTATGTCACTTAGCATAATACGTTCCAGTTCTATCCATGTTGCTGCAAATGGCAGGATTTCATTCCTTCTCATTGCCAAGTAGTATTCCATTGTGTATATAAACCACATCTTCTTTATCCATTCATCAGTTGATGGGCATTTAGGCTTTTAAGGAACTGAAATTCTAATTTACATTTAAATAACCACAAATGGGTAGTGGCTGCCCTGAAGAGCACACGTCTGTATATTACCTACATTATGGTAAGAACAGTGTAACGTATAGTTACATTGAACAATTCACAGAACCATTGTTTTTTGAGTATACTTCTATTAGCCTCTTTAAGACATTTTGCGTTTTTGACTGTTACCACTTGAAACTTTGAGTGTGGGTTTTATGTGACGAATAGAATTTGTGAAATCAAGCGATATTTAATGAATATGCAATTGGGTTTATAAATTAATGTCTATACACTTTCAAAAATCAGTGAACTATTTGATCTAATAGAAGAAATCCCATTACAGCAAAAACCCAGCTTTATTTCCTGAGGCTTCAGCCATCGTACTTTATAGTTGTTCATGAAATTCAAATACAGACCAGCCTGAATGAAGAGAAATGTGGTATTTACCGGAACAACTAGCTCTGGAGATAATAAGTAGAATTCAACTCTTAGAATTCCTAAATCACGTTTTGTTTTTTCAGGAGTGTGGCATGCACTATGAAAAAGGGTACTGGACAAGGGGGCTGAGGACTAGGATACTAAATATTAGTTTGATTGCCAACCACTAAATTAGTCCAGTTACCTTTTTAAACTGCTTAGTTTATTAATCCGTAAAGCAAAGGTCACTTGTCGTTATAATCTTAAGTCTATAATTTAAGATTACAAGGAATCTTTGGAGGTTGTCTGATTTCTCTTCTGCCTTTAGACAGGATGGTTACTGAAAATTTTTCATATTTCTGTTTTTGTAAAAAAATTTTGAAGATTCTAGTGTTGAATGCCTTGGGATGAAATCATAGTGATAATGTGATCCACCGTGTGGGTTTTCTTATTTTGGTAATTAGATAAATATTGTTGAAGGAAATACTAACATAACATGCTACTTTTTACCTTTGTAGCTGGACAAATTTGCCAGCATACGAATTCCAGGAAGCAAAAAGGAGAGACCTCCACTTTCCAACCTGAAGACCGCATTTGCAAGCAATGATTGTTCTTCAGAGATGATGGAAAACATTCCAAAGCCACTGTCAGAGAATGAAGTCTTAAAACTCTTCGAAAAGATGATGGTAAGAATTGTGGTTTTTCATAAAATGGTTGACGTAAAAACCTTAGCTTCTAATCATGTTAATGGAACAATAACACTTAAGACCCCTGTTCCATTGGGTGATTTCTGATGTCATTGAAGATAGCACATGAGGTGTTCAGAGCTCCAGGATTACAAAAAAATAAGAACCAGAGAAAAATTAGCACAGTAGTTGTTTTTTTTTTTTTTTTTTTAAGAGGGCTTCTGTTTTTATGTATTTTATTAAAGTATCTAGTGATATATTTTGAATCTCAAAGATTATCTAAGTGGTCTGTCTGGGTTCATTTGCATTTTAGAATGATGGTCACGGTGCTGTGTATGTTGTTAGGTGTGTTTATTTTGGTTTTGTTTGTTTGATTCCTTTCTTAGTTCTCAGGATAACCAGGTTCATATAGTCTTAGAGCATTGATATCTGAGGAGACTAAAACTTACTTTGGGGTGTGCCTTTTCTGGAGACACACTGGTATTAGAAGCTGCCTTCAAGTTGGTTCCACAAAGCAGTGACTCTGCTTATAACTTTTAAGTGGGTTGTTGGTCACATTAATTCAGCTTGCTATATTAACCATGTTCATAATTGTTTATCACAAAATGAATGCCAATTGCATCTAAATAGTTACATATATAGTTCTTACCCTCAAGTTGCTTATTTCCTAGGGTTCAAAGTAAACATTGGAAAAATTAAGTAAGAATTGCCAAAAGGTGGTAGTTAATGGTTAAGTTCTGCAGAAGTTCAGAGTGGGAAGAAATTAATTTTTGAGATATCTCATTAGCTTTAGGGGAAGCCAGAGTGGAAAGATTATTGCAGCAGCTTAGGGAAGTTTAGTAGAGAAGATGGACTTAGAGGACTTAGTTGAACTCCCCAACTGTGAGAATGTGACCCAAGCTGAAGCTGGATGCTTAACTGACTGACCCCCAGGTGCCCCTATTCATACTTATTTTGAAAGAGAAAGAGCAGGCATGAGTTGTGAGTGAGCAGGGGTGGGAGGTGGGGGGAGGGTGGGTTGGCTCAGAGGGAGAGGGAGAGAGAAACCCAAGCAGACACTTTACTGTCAGCACAGAGCTCAACACGGGGCTCAAACTCAAGAATCATGAGATCATGACCTGAGCCAAAATTAAGATTTGGACACTTAGGGGCACCAGGGTGGTGTTAAGTGGCCAACTCTTGATATCAGCTCAGGTTGTGATCTTGTGGTCATTAGATTGAGCCTCATGTTGTGCTCTGTGCTGAGTGTGGAGCTTACTTGAGATTTTCTCTCCCTCTCTCTCTTTTTGCCCCTCCCCCCCCCCAATAAATGAGTAAAACTTAAAAAAAAAGGGGGGGTTGGATGCTTAACCTACTGAGCCACCCAGGCACCCTCCCAGTCTGGGTTTATTTTATATTTATTTCACTTACTGGTTTTGACAGTCTTGTTACTTCTTAGGGAAATGTACTTATTTACTTTAGAGTGTAAGATGTGTTTGAAATTTGAGAAAGTTGATAGTTGGTCCTCTTTATTACTCAACTAGAATCAACAAAATATTTACTATTATACTGCCTTATTTTCTATTCATCAAGTATTTGTGTCCAGCATTATACATGGTGCTTCAGAAGACCCCAGAAAGAGAGCATGCCTGGTTTGTGTCTCCATAAATGAAGAATTACAGTGGTAGTGATTATTAACTTTTCATCACTGCGCATACGTTTTGTTAGTATTGTTTTACATGAACCGTAGGCTTGGGACATTATTTCCTGTTATGTCAGCTCTTGGTGAAGTGCTAATTTTGGTTTTAATTAACTACACATGTATAACTCCTTATTAAGTCTTTTGTTCCCATGAGTTGATATAATTTCAGCTTTGAAAAAAAATTTTTTTTTCCAGATTTAGGACATGTGTTGCCAAAGCAGGCACTTTTTTTTTTTTTTTCCTAGCCTTTGCCTCTGTTAATGAGGCTTGTATAAAGGTAGTTCTCTTCAATATTACCTTTGAGGGCTCAAGATAATAAAGTGCCCTTAGCTACTCCTTCATCCCATGTAGTGTATGTGGAACCATGCATATAAATTACCTATGAGATTCTAGAATGGTACTTTTTTTCATTTCCTTGTGACTACTTTGAAGAAATTTTTCTTTTTGATCATAATTGCTGGTGCCATCTGAGTAAGCAGACTGAGTAGGCTATTGATGTTAGATGTTTACAAGGCCACATTTTATCATCATAAGCCATTAAAAGTACAGCTACCTAGAAAGTACTGAATATAGTCAGTGGCATTCTGTACTGAACATGATTACTTGAACTGTTTTTCAGTTATTCTTAGGAGAAATCTAAGACTATCAGTTTGTAGTTATGTATAGGGCAGAAGGATATTGACATCTTTGGAATGTTTATAGAATACATATTTAATAACTGGGCCTGATCACTTGTTAAATCTTAAACAGGTATCCCTGTTGGCAGAAGATCGTTTACAATCAAACTCCTTTTACTCAGCAGAAGTCAAATGAAATTGTGGATGGGTCAGGGCTGCCCAATTTGCTAATAAACGAGTTTGTCAGAACTAAGGTCATCTTAAAGTGAGGACTGGGTTCTTGTCTTTCCTTTCTCGTTGCTTGACCACATCACAATACATTGTGGAGGTAGAATCCACTGATGGTTCTGAAGCTGAGAAGGGTCTTTTCCCTTCTTTAAATGTAATGAGTGATATTTCTCAGGCTTTTCAGGGTACCTTATTTTTTGACAAATTTAAAGCTGTTCCTGTGTCTGTAGAGAATGCTAGATGCAGGGTTGGGTTTGATTTTTTTTTTTTTTTTTTTTTAACTTGCACCTACCTATCTGTAGTATGAGTATTTTTCTGAAGAAGCCACATCGAATCTATAATCTTAATATCTTGGCCTTTGCACCTACAGGGGCTTCCTACCATTGAAAATTTGCATCTAAATTCTTAGTTTTGACATTGTGCAATTTTTAAAGCCTTATTTAACCTTATCAAAGGTATTGAAGTAATTTTCACATGAAGTAAAAACTGTTTTTACAGAGCCTTTTTTTCTTAAGATAGTGTGCTGACTTGATTATTTAATGAGGAGGTACAGGGTAATACTTCAATATTTGTACTCATTTTACTTTTATATTGGAGATGGATTTACTTGGTCTCTAGGTAATAATTTTAGTGGGTTTTTTTGTTTGTTTGTTTGTTTTTTGTTTTTGTTTTTTAAGTAGTGATGAATACTTAGGCTACTTAATAGCTCTTTCTCCCATTTGTCTTTTGGTAAAAGTAGAATTGTTACCTGAAAGCCCATATTGGTTTCTCTATGAATCTAGGTTTGTAAAATAGCTGTGTTAACATCCTTGTGTATACAACTTTAATTTCTAGAAATCAAGTTTCAGTGTTCACTCTTGAACTCACTGTGGGTCTATGTTAACTGGTTTTTGAATGAGTTCAGCATGGTAGGTACAAGCTGAAAGTGACTTGTTCATTGTAGCTGTTGGCTCTTTAAACCAGTCTCCTTGGCTTATTCTTTCTTTCCCCTAGATGAAATCCCAGGCAGGTCCCAGAGCTTTCTGTTGGCTTTCAGATTAAACAGAAAAAAATTCTAGTTTAATGCAAACAATTTTCATCCAGAAGAAGTTTCCCTCTTGCCCCTTTTCAGGCTGGCTCCACTTGTAGTCTCCAGTGCGGGCTGCTGTTGGGGAGCAAGGTTGGTCTCTTCCATTTTCCTACCTTAATTTTCCGTGCTCTACTCTCCAGCCTGCATCTGTCTCCTCCAGGACTTGATGGGAGGTGAGGAAAGGAGGAATAAGAAGATGCTTCAGGCCTCGGGTGTTGATAATCTGGCAGTGGTGCCCTGGGTAATGTTAGTTTTTATTGCTGCTGTAACAATTTACACAATTTCACAGATGTGTGGCTTTAGGACGCCAATATGCTGTCTCATAGTTCTGTGGGTCAGAAGTCCAGGTTGGCTCAGCTGCCCTCTCTGGTTTCACTAGGCCAAAATCAGTATGTGATGGCTGGGCTCTTACTGATGCTTTGGGAAGAATCTTTTCCAAATTCATGGTGGCAGAATCCAGTTCCTTGCTATTGTAGGATTGAGGTCCTGGTTTCTTTGCTGACTGTCCTCTGGGGGCTGCCTTAGCTTCCAGAGGCCTCTTTCCTATCCTTCGTGTGGGCCCCTATCTCTCCATTACATCAAATCCATCTCCTGCTTAGAATTTCTAGGACTTCCCATCTGTGTCACCTCTTGTCTCCATCTATACAGAGTTGTCTGCTTTTAAGGGCTCATGTATTAGATTATGTTCTCACCCAGATAACTCAAAATAATGTTACATCTGCAAAGTCTCCTTTGCCATGTAATAGAACTTATTTGTAGGATCCAGAGATTAGGGCATGATTTTGCCCGTTACAGGTATAGGAGATTACAAATGCCGATTGTTTTCTTCTGTGGCATTTTTGTGCCCACCTGCCCTCCAGTTTCACCTGTAATTCCCTTGTCACTGGTGATGTCTCCTTTGGCCTTCTGCCCAGTTTTCCATGAGCCCATTCCTCTGCTGGAGTCGCCTTCAGGACACAGCACCTCTCTGATGGCCCAGGGCTGCTGCTTCCCTGGGATCCACATCTTGTCCATGGGAAGCTCATGTATTCTTTGCCCCTCACTCCTGTCCTTTGCTTTGTTCCCTTCAGAGTCTGTCCTCTGTAAAGTATAAACTACTTTGGCTCTTCCTACCGATAATTGGTAGTTTTTGCTATTCTCCTAACTGTAAGTGCCCTCCTAGTCGTCCGATTTTACCTGTAATACTGCTGACCACTCCCTCCTGTCTGCATTACTTTTTTCTTTGGCTACCATGACACTCCTTTACTTCGGATTTTCCTCTTCTCTGGCCCGTTTTTTTTACCAGTTTCCAGGTTTCCTTTTCTGATTTGTATTTCTTCAAGGTATTGCCTCTGGCCCTCTTGCTTTTTCTTCATCCTCTTTGGTTCCCTACACATTTCTCATGGGGGATGGGAGCCCTTTTATG